CAGTTCTCTGTTCACTGGGAAACTGGCTGTTTTACAATTGTAATAGGAGTAGGTGGCTGTGGAATCTGTCAGAAAATCACAATTGGAATTTTATTCTTAAAACTAAACACACCTCAGTTACTTTGAATCAAAAATACAAGTAGAAATGTGGGCATTTGCTTAATAAAAGTGGTAAACTACACTGCAGTTTCAGTCCAGATAAATAGAGATTAATTATTATTATTAATTTATGCAGAACAGGTACATGCAGACTGAATTAACTTTTGAGTTTGAGCTCTCTTCAGAGGCTGCACATTCAAGGTGACACCCAGGTCAGAAGTGTAGTTTATGTGCAGGGATAAAAGTGAGAGCTTGAGTTCTGTGTAACTAAACAAGAGTTTTGAAATTTCTATTCCCTTACAGTGGCTGCTTCTGAAGGACAAGTGTGCTATTTAAAATGGGATTATTTTTATTATAATAAATGTGAGATTACTTTTAACTTCCCTCCTAAGGAGCTGGCAGTTGTTAGCTGGGAACACTTGCCCATTCTGGCTTCCAGCACTGGTGAAGCTGACTGGTTCTGTTTGTTTTTCCTGGTCACTGTGCAACATACCAATTTTTATCATGCAATTCTGTATTCAGTGTAAAGTTGGCAACTAAGTATTTCTAAAAATAAGGAGGAAGTCGCTGTTACCCGAGGTAAAGTATGTTAATTTGCTTTCTTATTATTTGGAAGGTAGCAGATTATTCTGGTCTCACAAAGAGGAAATCAAGACATAGGTAAATGAGATGAAAACAATTATCACATTGTGGAGTTGGAGCGGAGTTGTAGGTATTTGTCTCCCATTCAGGTAACTGGTACTTCTATAGTTCTCCAGGCATTTTATGGAGGTTTGTTCTGATGGTAGGTATCAGTCATCTTTCAAAAACAAAGTTTGCCTGCTGCATTCCCTCCACCTTCTCCAGTTTCATACATGGAAACAGAGCCACAATTCAGATTTTTCATTTATTGACTCTCAAATGTAACAGACCCTGGCTGCCTTACTGTAATACCAGGGTTGCTGAGCATCCACAGCTTCCAGTTCACCTAAATCTTCTGTTGAATGTGCTGCTGTCAATCAGGCTCCTTGTCCAGGGCGCTGGCGATACTGGGAGTGCAGAAGTGATGATGACTTACCTGTGTGTGTCTGTATGTACTTCTTGGTGTGTTCTTAGCATTGCATAGACCTCTTTGGCAGAAGGAAATACTGAGAAGATTCTTCAGAATTACCTTTTTGAGGTGAATAATTGAAATGTACCCTAAAGACAAAATTGATGATTAATTCTTAAACCATCACCAGCAACTTGAACGTTTCTTTAATTATGTGGAAAACAAAACACGGGTGTCAGATTATAAATGGTTTTTAAAATGCTTGTTTGAGTATATATGTTGCTTTTTTCTTTTTAACAAGCAAAACCACAAAGGGAGTAGTGTTTTTTGGAGATGAAAGAATAAAAAGTAAAGATATCAAACTTCTTGGAACATGTTTTACAATAGTTTAAGAAGTGCATTTAACCATGCCCTGAAAAGCTGACTGATTTTTGAGTCTTAAAAAAAACAAACAAACAAAAAAAAACCCCAACAAATCACAAGTCCTGGAAACTCTTCCTTCCTCAAAATAGGAAAAAAAAAAACAAACCAGCCCCAAGCTGAGAAAAATTGTATCTTGGAAAGCTTCTCACTTGGCAAATGGGAGTAGTACTAGTCTTAGTACTTAATGTTTTTTTGCCATTGAAATATAGAAGTATGCTGGATTCACATTCTGTGAGGTTTTAAAAATGTTACATGTGTTTTATTTAAAATCTGAGTATATATATGATTTGCTAATTGGAAGGTGGTGGTGTATAGATCATGTCAAGGCAGATGAGTTGCTTGATAGCCTGGGAGGGAAAATGCTGGCTTAGAGTCATCTTGTTCTGCTCTATCTCTAGTCATGGAGTAAGACAATTGTGTTTCTGTGACTCAACTATTTTAAGGAAAAAACAGGGTAATTCTCTGAGTGTCTTGTGAGACTCAATGTATTAAAATTCTGGAGTTGCTTTGGCATGTTAGATAATCTAAACCATCCATGAAAGTTGAACAGGATATTTTCTTCTCTTTCAACAGATGATGACATTGATGATGAAGAGTTCTTTGATAACCAGCTAGAAGCCTACTTTGAGCAGCTGTTGCAGCCAGAAATGACAAGAGGAGACTCTGAAGTACAGAAGCTCTCAGAATGCTGTAGGGCGCTGAAGCTCTCTGAAAATGCCTTACTTCAGGTAGGTTTTGAGTTTGTAGTTCTAGGTTTAGGTTTCAAAGCTCAGCATGCCCACTGGCCCCTAAACACAGTAGTGTTGTTGAGGGTTGTCTGCCAAGGTGAACTAGGTTTTATTTCTTTCCTGACAAACCCAAATACTGTCCAACAGGGAGCCTGTATAGCAAAAGATTCTTTTTAATGTTAAATATAACGAATACATCTCTGAGCAGTTTGAATGATCTGCTGACTACATCTGTTCCTTCTGCAAGGCTTTCCTTGGAAAACAAAAAATGGGAAGAAGCTAGGTAGCTATTTTTGGATTTATTTTCCTCTTCCCTGTAGAGCAGAGCTATCAGCTGATTGTTCTGCTTGTTACAGAAGATCTTGTTCTTTGCGAGATAAGGTGGCATTGGGTAAGTAGGTGGCTGGCCCAAGAGGTGTTAGGCAGGAAGGTTTTCAGCAAAACTGAGGAGTTTCCCATGATGGCATCTCCTTTATTGAAGTCTCTATTCAGGCTTCCCACCTGTCTAACCCTGCCCTTCATACCCCTCTTTAGTTTGTGCACCAGCCTTCCTCTGCATCCTGACAAGCAGCTCTGTACTAAGTACAGCATCAGTGGTATTTCCTGAAGATGGACTTTTTCTGCTGGACTAAATACAACATCTCTTAATCCTGATTAGAAAAGGAAAAATTGCTTTTAAGAGTTTTGGCTTGTTAATGCTGGTCTGGACTTATTGTACCTTTGAGGTGTTCTCTTGAATGCTTTAAGGTGTGAATGTGTCTTATACACCTTGCTTTCCCTTTCAGTGTCCTCCAGGTGCTTTATAGTGTCAGAGGTGGTAAAATATTTGTAGACAGTGAGATTTTGGATCCTTTTAAGTCCACTAAGGGAAATTATTTCATTAGTATCTAAGCAGAAGCCTTTACTGGTACCATTGTTTTCCTATGACATAGTTCCTATTTTGATTACTGGCCTCTGAATGCAAAGAATTTTGGATGAAAGAGAAAGCTCCATAAAAAAGCTCATACCCATAAAATGGTGGCTTTACCCTGGCCCCTCCAGCCCCAGCAAGCTGGTCAGCTAAACCTAAACTAAGGCCATCTTTTGTTGTCACTTTTAACTTGCTTGTAATGTCCAGATGGGCCTATTGTCTGTGTAGGAATTGTTTAAGATTAATCTGATGGTTCTGTGACAAAACTACTTGCAGTAGTTTAACTTGTTGCTGTTCTTAGAGTTGTGGTGTTAACAGCAGCTGATTTCTGTTTTTTCTTTTTTTGTTTCTGTAATTACTCAAGTAACATCCTGGTGCTTCTTCTCTATCATACAGCTTGTGGTAAAATCTTTTTGATCACAGGTTTATTATCTTGGATCGTGGTGCCGAAGGTTGTATTAAGTGTATAGCATCAGAGAGACTTGTTTTCTCCAGCAGACTAGTTAAGTCTCTGAAATAATTGGTCAGTGTGTGAAAGGTGAGCATGGAGCAGCAGCTGGCTGGCTCGTGGTTTGACTTTCAGCAGCAGTTGGCTCTGTCACAGACATATTTCCAGGGATTAAGTGTCTTTCCATTTTCTTGGCATTGCAGCAGTGGATGTGATCCTGGCAGCTGCCTGCTTGTCCAGAATGGGCAAGTGTGATGGATTTAAACAGTTAAGTGAACTGTAGCTTCTGAAATTTCAGAAATTTCCCAGCTGACATCAGAGTTTCCAAGCTGTGGGAAGCAATGTGCTCACCCTCTAACAGTAGTCAGTGTAGGCTGCTGGTTGCTGTTCTACAGCTGTGCAGGGAGAAGAGGATAGGTGGTGGTTTGGTGATTGAGAATAACACTGTTCTGCTCTCCAGCTTCAGATCTTCTCTGCTTGAGATGTTCCTGCTTCACCACCATGGTAGATGGGTAGTGGGCTAAGTACAACAGGTTCTGAGTTGGACTGGAGTCCTCAGCCAGCAGCGAGTCAAACAGAATGAGGAGTAGCATGGTGCCCTTGTTAAAGGGAATGAGCAGATACAGG